GATGGATGGATGGATGGATGGATGTAGACTCTTTAAGAGACCCTCCTCCTCCCCACCCCACGCAGCTGCGGTCAGCGCACCTCTTCTCCATTCGCGTGATTAATACTGTTTTATTTTTGTTTTGTTTTTTTGTTTTTTTGCGCAAATCACAGATTTTTTTATGCTCATTATACACATTAAATGTCTGAAGGGGTTGACGTGTGAACTCTTCAGTCCCGGGCTGGTCGGAGCCGAGCTGCAGACTGACAGGTTCAGCTGCTGTAAAGTCACTGCCCCTCGCTTTAAAAACAGTCAGTTAATCTGTCGCGGTTTTGTTGCGCTCGTGACGTGAACACACGGGGGGAAATGCTGCGAAGTGCTTTTAGAAATATAATAAATATAAAATATGACGTAATCCTCAGTGGAAAATAGTCCAGGAAGCGTGTGCGTTCCCGAGAAGTTCCCTGAGCTGAGTGAAGCTGACCCCCCTACCCACAGAGAAAGGAAAAAAAAAGGCAGTAATTATTGATAAGGGAGTAAGCATGCTGTGACTTCACCTGTTGCATTTTCTTTTAAAGAAAGAAAAAGTAGCTTGCAAAGCTGTCGCATCAGTGTAACATCATTAAAAGCAGAGCTGCGCGTCTAATCACACACACGTCTTCCTATCTTTGTGGGGAACACACACAGCGCTCAGCCTTGCTCTGCGCCATTTTTTTTCCACAAGTTTGGCGAGAGTTGGATATGGAGGGTCGCAAAAAATAGCTCTCGACTTGATCTGGTCTTATTTAAATAAAAATGACTACATGCCATGAAACTCTTAGAGGGGCGCCCCGCCTGTATAAAGGTAGGGGAAACACTGGTGGCCAAACATCCTATTTTCTTAGCAGTAAAAAACCTATGTAAGTTCCAGAATCAGGCCTAAAGTATCTAGAACCCATTGCATCAGAAACAGAAACAATGAGACACGGACAAYAGGATGAAGTTTACTGTAGTTCAGCACCATGGATAGCTCCTGAAGTCAGTCGGTTGTAATCAGCTCACACAGAAACAAAGACAGGAAGAGTTTTGTGGGGATGTCATGTTTGTTATACTTACTGGGTGTTTGGCTGAGATTCGTCCAGTCACAACACTCGTCTGGTACCAAGTAGAGGAAATGTAGTTCTGGTGTGTTCAGAGAGACGAAATTATACACCATAACATTGTGACAAACTATCTGATGACATATACAGTATATATTTACCACAAAAAAGTAAGGAAATGTGTCTTTGATAGTTTATTTCTTTGTTGTAACAATGCTTATTGGCAATAAATCTTATGGCACCTGACTGGCACCACTTGGGGGTAGTGGAAGCTCAAAACAACAGTCTTTACCAACAAAAAAAAAAATAAGCTGTTTGGCCAGTTTTTCATGTGCACATACTCTGCTCTACTGCTCATCCCACAAATGCATGTTCCTTACAAATGTGGCACCATTTAAAAGGGAAATTAACAGGTTTTCCAACACCATAAGATTTATTACCAAGAAACACTGCTACAAAAAAGAAAAATACTACCAAAACACAAATTTCCTTACTTTTTGTGCTAAGTTTTTACCCAATGCAAAATTCCAAGAGAAAAGACAACAATTAACCAACCAAGCAGCAATAGTTTTTGTCACACAGCTGAATCAGTTATGTGATTACTAAAATTTCCACGCCGCTGGTAGGACTCCAATACAAACTGAAAACAGCAGCTGAGCTTCTTATCGCCATCATTTCTCTCATTATGCTTTTGGACAGACAGAAATCATTACTGCCATGTTTAGTTTGAGCAATCTGTTTGCAGATACTCGTTCCAGTTATGGTAATACATGCACAACTTTTCAGCTCAAGACTGCGGTTAAACGACACGAGTGTCTGACACTGATAAAAATGATAAGGCTTGCAAGGAAAGACAGCTGATGGTATGTTTCAGCTTTGCTTTCTTTATTACTTCTAATTTATGTTTCCACTTAGTTGTGACTAGAGATTTGCATGCGATCGTGATTTAGGCATCTTCTCCTTGATAGGATTGCTGTTTACAGGCCAAAAATAAATAAATAAATAATGCAGAGTGAATCACCACCATTAACAGCCAAACAGACCCATTTTGCAGAGCTGGAGCACAGATTTGACAAATAAAAGCTGCTGCTGCCCATATATGAGGCACGTGATGTGGGACAGTCAGAAGAAAAGGTCTATTTTCTTCACAATCATGATCAACCTGGCAGCAAAATGAACTGACTAAAGAGAAAGCAATTCCCATGTGTGACAGCTCTGTGCTGTAGGTGGAAATCCACAGCTCATCACTCCGGATTAGGATTTTCCTGTCAGAAATGTTCAACGTCTTTATCCCTACACCTACAGCTCAGTTTTCATTAGTGTGACAATCCTATGAAAGTCAGGAAAGATTTTCTTGGTAGTGCTCAAATACCAGCTGTGGTACTTGACTTTCAAAAATGAAATAAAAAAGAGAAGAAAAGAAAATCTTTTTTATCTTTAAACTTTAAAAATTAAACTGTGACGGCTGCAGACTCACCTTGCTCTTCATGCATGAGAGGATCCCGTCAACAAAAGTAGATTTGATCTTGTGAATCTGGAGGCAAAAAAAAAACAACAAAAAAAAAAAACAGCCATTTGTTATATAAAAATTAAAGCTAGTACTTAATGCTTCGCTAGGCTTTATATGAAAAATATTTTGGGTAGTGCAAGATGAGTCAAAAATCAAGACCAGCTGATTTTTTTAAAGAAATTAGTTCAAAACAATAAAATTAAAAATGATATACTGTACATCGCGATAAACGCGTGATCAATATTAATAGAAAATAAGTCTGATAAAATGACTCCAATCAAGAACCACATGGCATTCTGGGGGATGTAGGCAGAGGAAAGGCTTTAGCCACTCGGCCTCACAGCCCAGCTAACCAGGAGTGGTGACACGAACTCACTCACAACACGGAGTGCAACACATTGAAAAGAAATTATGGATAAAGAGGAAAGGTCACGTCACCAGTGTGGCAGTATTAACCTTTTTTCTCCTCGTTTACTTTACTTTTACTTTAAACAGAAAACTAATCAATAATTGTCTATATTGAGTGATATAAAATGGTTATATTGTGTTACATTTTTAGCCCTATCGTCCAGCCCTAATCTTAACATTGGACTTTTATCACAAGAAAACCCTGCTGAGTTTTAAAAAACGAGAGAGTTGGGGAACATAGCCGACCTGTCTGTACTCCAGAATGATCTTTGGCAGAGGGTGAAGGTCCTGAAGCTGCAGCAGCTACAAAAAAATGGACATTTTATAGAAAGATGAACGATGCCATAGCTTGATTTTAAGCAAAACCTCTTCTGTTTCTTTGTATTAGGCTGAGAATTACGAACAATGATCATATGTATCTTACTGCAGCTTCTGATGTTGACTGTTGCTGCTTGTTGACGGTCTTGGGAAGCCTCTTGTTCTCACAGCGCTCGTGGAGACGCAGCTTCTCAAACAGAACCTTCAAACATTGCATGTTTAAAACATATAGCCACCGTGAAACAAAGCTTCAGACAGTGCAGACACATATGCTGACAGAAAAAGACACATACAGGTTTTTTTACCTTACATTGTTGAGAGACAAAGGTAACAGTGTAAATAATACTTGTACAAACAGAAGTATAACTTGAGGTTCGTACTATTCGAAGCTGAGAGTTGCTGGTCAACAGAAATATTTGTCCAGCTGCTCTGTGGGCCTCCTGCTCCAGCTGTTTCATTTTAGCCTGTCAAAAACAGAATTTAAAAACTTGTTTATCCTAGCAATATTTCTTTACTGTTTGAAGATCAGAAGCTAAAACGTAAGATCCTGTACATTTTACTGTCCAATACTTATTTTTACTAATCTAACTATAAAGGATATATAAGAGGATATCCAGAGTTCTTTCATCTAAACTGGCATTGCATTAAACTAATCCAACATCTTATTAGTTATTGTTTGTTAATAACCTCGCAAAATTAATACATAATAAAAAATATAATAAACTACTCCTGTGACAATATAAGTGGTGTAATATTTTTTGCAAAAACATTTCATAATGATTGAAAAGTGTTACTACACATTTTATGAGTTCCATTTGAAAAATAAAAAAGAATAATTGCCCCATTTTTATCATTTGATTAAAAAAATTCTTAAAAGATTCTTTTTTTCATTGCTCAGTGAATATAAAGATGTTTAAATGTGGTTAGACCGTTTTGTGTTTGTGAAGACTACTGCAGGGTAGAAACTGTCAGCCTGCCCAAAACCTTTCATTCTGAGAAAATTAAAGAAAACTGATCCATCCGGAGCTCTGCAATGAAGATTTAGAGGATTTTTTAAATTTTGTGGTGAAACATGTGGGAGATTTTTTTCCCCCTTATTTCTGTTTGTTGATCAGCTGCAGCCAAAGTCAGACCTATTAACGAACACTTAGTCATAAAGAAAATCCATGAAATGTTACCGGAAAAAACAACCAACAAATGGTTTTACCTAAACTCCAATTACACACAAATATTTTGACTCGCAAACATAAAGTAGAGGTACAACACAAGTACATAATCACTGATTTTTACGTAAAAGCACATACTACACAGATGAATTACTGACTGCTGTAAAAAGCCACTCATTCATGAAGCAGAAACTTTGCTTTCCAGGACAACAGCACAACAGAAACAGCAGGAGACAAGAAGAACGAGGAAAGAAAGGGACAAAACAGTTATGGACAAAAAAGTACCGTATTTATTCATGTATAATACGATCTCAAGTATAATACATGTATAAATACAGCACTTTACTCATGTATAATACGATCTCAAGTATAATACATGAATAAATACAGTACTTTACTCATTATAATAAGATCATCCCTTTTTGAGCTACAAAGCATAATAATCTAATTATCAATGACCCGTGTATAATACTATCCCCCCACTTTATGGATGATTTTTAGGGTTAAATTTCTAGTATTATACATGAATAAATACAGTATATTAAAAACAAAAAAAAACTACAACAGTAAATAAGACTACTACAGGAGATAATGATAAATAGAGAAATACCATTTACTGCTAAATAAATTGTATAAATATGTGTTAAAGACTTTTCTGAAGAACCTGAAACTCACTGGTGGGTACAGTTCCCCTAAAGCACTAAAGCGCTAATAGGGGAACTAATTTCCTGATTAGTGCTTTAGGGTTTTTGCTCATTTTGAAACTTATTAGTGGATTGGCACTTGCTAAATTTAGAAGCACTAACTGAGGTCAATAAATATTATTGATCAACGTTAATTTTAACTGACTGTGAAAGCTTTCGCACATTTTGTTCATGTGTGTCACTTATCCACCAGGTGACATTTTGACAATATATGAACCCAAATATAGCTGTGGAATGTCAATGATAAGTGAAACATGACAATATGTGACTCGTGTTGTCTGTTGAAGGATGTTCATGGGTTGACTGGGTTATTTTAGTGCTTTAAAATTAGCTTTTGCTAAAACTTACAGTGCATTAGTGCTTTAGAATTAGGAGACCTAAATATCTGAGTTAGTGCTTTAGGGCTAGTGGAACTAATTTTTAGATTAGTGCTGCCCACCACCTGCTGAAACTGAATTGTAAAAACAAAAATAAGCAGTTCACTTGCCAAAAGCTAAAACAATCACAACACTAGCTAAAAACAAAAAAAGACCAAACATTAGCTACAAGCTAACCAAATCAATAAAATGATTAAATATCAGCTATAAGCTAAAAAAGCAAAACAAAAGCTAAAACCTAAAAGTAGTAAAACACTGCCCTAAAGGTAAAAGTGTTACAAGTGTTTTCTTACAAATAGTAAGAGAGGAAAGTGGGATTATTTGTCAGACATCCACCCACATTCCTAAATTAGTGTTTTTCTCACTGTTTTACTCTCAGTGCAGTGTACATTTTGGATCAGTATTCAATATTAGATAAATGCCTTTTAGCTGTGTTTGACAGAGATCTGTAGGGTAATAAGTAATTGCTTTTACCAAGTTGTTGCAWCAAAATGTGGTCTTTCTTTGGATTCCAAAGAGTTAAGATGTTAATATGATTTTCACTCTGAGCTGAAAAGACCATTCAAAAACAAAGGTTCTTTTAAGTGATATTTGTTGTACTGAGTTTTACTTACTGGGGCGAAGCAGCATGTCTGTAAGATGCAGGCTGACAGGATAGAGACACTCTGCTTGATGCTCAGACAGGTGAGCTTGACAGCTCAGATAAAGAAAAACCCGATGCGACAGAGTGGGGACACACGTGACTGCACTCACAGATACGCTGTATTACAAAAAGACAAGCCCGCACACACTGAGCTTCAACAGAAACTTCAACCTGTTTGTGTTGGCACTGGCAGACATAAATTATTTCATGTAGCACAGCCTCTTAAAAGAGAAAAATCAAGACTATCCATCCTATTAATAGCAACTTGGCAGGACACCACGATGGTCTCCAAAACAACACTCCTGCTGGTGCTCCCAGCAGCTGTAAATGTAAATGTGTTTTCTTCTATGCCAGCAAAACAAACTGCATGTTGGTGTGACAGAAAACGTTCACACGGAGGCTTCAGACTTCATTTTTAGTTGCATGTAATCAGGACAGGTTCCCAGAGAATATCCACCCACTACATTACTACCCGGAAAGAAAAAGACAAATAGTATTTTTCTTTGTTTCGTCAGTTTGGTTTTTATTTTCACCCTCTCCCCCAGAGGGCTCTCCAGTTTTGTTTTCTTTTATTCTTTGTATTCATACAGCAGCTCTGTGCTTCAGCAGCCAGACTAAAATTCCATCAAGCAGGAAAAAAAAAGCTTAAGTTGGAGCAGGCTCTAAATGTTTTATGTGTTAAAAAAAGTTGAGGATTATTTTCTGTGTCCTTAAGATTTTTCTTTAATGAATGCTGTGCTGTGAGCTAAGTATTCTGTACAGTACAGTATTCTGTTTGACTTTAATTTATCTTAAACACAATTTGGAGTTTGACAAGCCTGTTAATAAAGGATATGCATCAATTGGCAGAAATGATCTTCGCCTTACCCCAAGGAGTTCTGAAGTTCTCTTCAGAGCTTCTTTGTCCACATGGATGTGGTGACTTTCCATGGCTAAAAAACACAGATATTATGTTCGTCAAGGGCCAAAATAGTAAATCTGTCCAGTTCTAATGCATGGCTTATATGAAACCAGTTAAGTGGTTTATAAGGAATTGAGTCAAGTGTGTAAAACTTGTTCTACTTTACAATAAATAAGAATTATTGTGACTACCACATGATACAATCTCTAAATCACAGCTTCATTTAAACACAAGCATGAACAAAAAATCCCTGGGGTTTATTGCTTCATGTTTACTAGTGTATCTCTTTTGCCAGTCCCATGCTCAGATAAATGGTAATATTTGTGTCATTAATGGCATGAGAGTTCGTCCAAATGACAACCATGGTAAGAAACAAAGCAGAGTTGTATTCACCTGCCAGAACCGGGATCATTCTCAGTTCCATCTCTGAGTAGAGGTCCCACAGGTGCTGGCTCTGGAAACACACAGTCAGGTTATTTGTGTCTACAGAGACTTAGGTTGGTGTGTGTGTACTTGTATTTGTTACCTTTTTAGGACCATTTCTGGTATACACACCTACCTTGTCAAGACCAGTGGTCTATATGGAGACCGAGACCAGTCCTAATATGGTGGACATTTTTGGGATGAGGCTTAGATTTAAGACTAAGGTGTGAATTGAGTTTAGGTTAGGTTCAGGCATATGTATGTACTGGAGTGGTTTAAGGTAAGAGATAGAGATCCTCTTTATTGTCATTCAAACATAACATCAGGGATGCAATGTAGAACGAGCGTAAGAGGTCAGGTGACTAGAAATTAATGGAAGTCAATGAATGGTCCTTATAAGGATGAAAATGGCCTTGTTTTTCCTACATCATGGGGACAATTTTCCCAAAAAGAGCTGCCTTGTGGGGACCAAACGTGCATCGTGGGGACCAAGGTTTAGGACCAAGGTGTGAATTGAGTTTAGGTTAGTTTTAGTGTAAATGGTCAGGGTTAAGATATAAAATTTCCAAAAAATGAATGGAAGTCAATGGTAAGTCCCCATAGGGATACACAAACAGACCTGCATGTGTGCGTGCGTGTGTGTGAGAGAGTGTGGGTGCATCTATCAACCTGTAGTTTAGCACAGAGGTTCAAATGAAGCTTGTAGAGCCAGTTGAGACTAGAGATGATCTGAGAAACCTGAATATGATTGAGACATGAAAGATGCATAGCATTAAACATTTCTGCACTGATTAACTCCTTGTGTGAATGAATGAATAAATGAACAGTGGACACAAATACAGCCTTTAAAACCTCATCTTCTTGGAAAAAGTTTGAATATGACAATTACGGTAACAAAACTGCTGGGACAGTTAACCTTTGAACATTTTGCATGTCACTGTTTTAAGGCTATTTTTGGAATAAAGTACTTTTTCGCCCGTCTTAATGAGATTCTTAAATTTATGAACTGTTAATTTTCAGCCCACATTTCCTGTCCAAGCTTTTTGTCCTCTCTGAGCTTTAATGGGTAGCTAATTTCAACCAGAACCTGAAGTAGGGTAACCAAATTTTTAAATTGAGTTGTCTTTTATTATTTTAGGTGTATGTTTTTGGTCATTATCTTGTTGAAGGAGCAATGAGGGGAGCTGTGAAAAAGTCAAACTAAAATATGCAACTTTTTTAAATAAACTTCAAATTCTTTGTTTGCAAAGCTCATCTAATTCATTAGCTGTGGTGGTTATATTTTCTGAAGAACAAACAAGAGTTTAGTTTTATTCTAAGGCAAATCCAAATAAAAGAATTTAATGCTCACTGTGTTTGTATTATTCAGTATGGATAGACACGATGCACTTTGTTTCAGAAGTTTATTATGATAAACTGTGACAACTGGTCATTTTCATACACAAGACAATAAATGCACATTTTACTAACCTTCTGAGAACCCGGGACAGATGCTGTATATGTTTTTTGACAGTGCTTATACAGAAGATTACTATAGCAAGAAGAAGGATCTGTGGGATCCAGCAGCCACCCTGAAACCTGTGGGTCCTGAATCTGACAACCTGCCACTGCAAAGAGAGAAAACTTACATTGAGACAACAAACAATGTACTAATATAAAGTACTTACAGGGTTCCCACACCTTGGTCAACGTCAAATTCGTGGACCTTTCAAGGACTTTCCAGTACCAATTTCCTCAAATTAAAGATCCATGCGCAACGGCAATTACCTACTGCTACCTCAGAATGTTACCAATGAACAGGTTTAATATGTAAATTCAATGAAAAACTGAACAACATAGAAGTTATTGAGTCAGAATCAATGAAAGAAAGTGGATTAAATGTTTACCCTACATTCATATCCACAATACATGGACATGTAATTATGTCCTGGGAGGTTCAGCAGCTCAGTTTGGGAGGAGGGGATGTGGACATGTCCAGACCCTCAGTGAGGACAGGAGGAGCTGTGGTGCTCTCACCTGGGCTCAGAAAGAAAGACCCGCCCTACTCTGCTCTGATTGGGTAAAACTTTGACTATGGCTCACGTTATTTGTTGAAAGCCATGTCAGTTTGCAGTAATCCTGAGTTATCCACTGCAAGAAATGCAAGTTGTATTTTTTTTTATTCTGATTTTTTTTTTTACAGATGATGAAAATCAGTCATGTGAATAGAGAACTTCAACCCCCCCAAAAAATTCAAGGACTTTCAAGAACAAGTGTAATTTTTGGCTGTTTTCACAAACTTTCCAGGGCCTTGAAATATTTTTAAAATTCACAAACTTTCAAGGATTTCAAGGATCCATGGGAACCCTGTACTTAAATGAGACACATCATGCTTTTGAAACCTTTTTCACATTTAAATCATTCAGTTGGGGTCTGCCTAAAAGACAATAAAGTACAGTAATTATTATGGTGATTATTACAGCTAAGAATAAATCTGTATCAGCATTTTGGTTATTTGTAAGTGTATTTGTTTTGTAGATCTTTCCATAGTTCAAACCATCATAAAGTCCTGAATTGTAACCTTCTTAATCTATGCAGACCACATTGTACCATAACTTTATATCAAAGGAACAGCAAAAGTCAAAAACTGTGATGACTGGTATTTAAAGAAAAAGAAAGATATGATTAAACCAAGATCAGAATAAAACTGACCTATTTAAAAGATGTCAACAGACAAAATAAAGCAGTCAAAATCATTTGCAAAGAGAGTGAAGCTGGACTTGCCTTGTTTCCAGCTGAGGTCATCTTTGCAATACTGCAGAGCTGTACGAAGCAAATCCTTGGCTTTATAAGAAACCAGCAGCTGGGATTTGGATAAGACTCGTAGAAGCAAATCTCTATGACACAAAGTTATAAACACGTGCACTTTTAGTGTTCCCGAGTCAGTATGAAAACCTAAAATACACCAGCCTCCTTGTGACAGATGGCAAACACAAACATAGTGCTGATTCTGCAATCCAACTCCTCATCGCACTCGTTTATCGTGCACACAGGCAGACCTGGTGAAGAGCTCCTGGCTGTGGTGAGTGTGCTGGTGGGCCCAGAGGGGGGCGTGCTCCAGTTTTAGATAAACCAGACTGTCTTGTGGACTGAGCGCGTTCTCAGGTGTGCTGCTGGAAAGATCCTTCTTCATCAGGACAAGGAGGCCACACACTGCAGGAGCGACCTTCTGTAGCCGGGATCAAAAGAGGAAAATTTGCAGCAACAACAGGRAAATCTGGTCATTATACAAGAATTCACCATTWAAATATAATGCAACTTGTTCTAACTTGCTTTTTATTAATTTAGTGATTTGTAGTCAGTTGTAACAAGCTGTGTCATAAATTAATCTATTAAGAGGGGTGGTGGGTATGTATTATCCAGATGCATACTGTAGTTACATTTTATACCACAATCAAGTAGCTATGACATCATCAGTTATAAAAATGCTGAATATATCAAAAATAAATGTGACTTTGCATTATAGTCTATCTCAGTGGTTCCCAACTCTGGTCCTCAACTATCAATGTTTTACTTGTTTCCCTGCTCTTCAGCAGGTCTTCAGAAGATTTTTAACCACACATTCACTCAAACCAGGTGTGTCAAACCAGGTCAGCGTCTAAAAATCACTGCTTTAGATGTTGACAAACACCTCAAGAGCTTCTCTGAGTTTGATGAGACATTTTCAAAATATAATATTGACTTAGTTTTATTTTTTTAGTATTGCCTCTGGAAGCCATTGATTCTTTGCCATTTATTTGTAAATGATAAATCAGATAACATGTATTAAAAGCAGTGATTCTCAATCCTGGTCCTCAAGGACTCCTTTCCTGCATGTTCAGATGTTTCCCTGATTTGACACACCTGGTTTGAATGAATGAGAGATTAACAATCTTCTGAAGACCTGCTGAATAACAAGGAAACAAGTAAAACATGGTGGATAGGGGTACTTGAGGACCAGGATTGGGAACCACTGGTCTAAATGCCTTGAAGTTGGCCTCTGTCTCTTTAAGAACCTCTTCCCGTTTCAGACACTCCCACTTCAGCACGTCTTCACAACAGTGCTTCATGCCGATTACAACTTTTCGTAGGAGCGYTGTATTTTGTTGTAAACAAAAAAAAGCAACATTATATAAGATCTGTTTTGTAAAATAGCAACAGTTGAACATTTCTCGACAGATCCCACGTTGGACCTGGAAAGTACATTTGTTTGAAGAACCGGAACATAACATAAGGCTCAAAAATGTTAATTTTGCATAATCCACCCCCCCAACTTAAATTAACATCAGACCAAGGCCGTTATCTATACCAGAGATTCTTAACCTATCGAGCGCCACCTTGGGGGCTTCAAAAGAACAACAGTTTTTAACTTTAGGCCGCAGAGGGCCGCGAGACCACATTGATTTTGAATAAGGTACAATACACTTTCTCACCACTAGTAGCAGTAGTGCACCACTCAG